CTTTACTTCAGGAGAAGATAATTCTCTCCGAATTGACGTGGCGACCCTCTCCGAAACCGGAACATGCCCTGTGCCCAAGCTTCGCGTACCGAGGCCCGAGCTATATCCAGAAAGACTCGAGCTTCGGGAATAAAGACTCGAGGCCACACAGAGGCTATGGGAAGCCATCTCTTTTGTCTGTGCCGCCGGTAATCTCGGATGGTACGGTAAGAGATCCAGTGGAAGAGGTGGAAAAATCCTCAGAAATTGGAAGTGAGGAGATCTCGGGGCGAAATCCCAATCTAGAGATCCAGCAAATTGTCTCGCCGAGGGTAGAAATGCCCGAGACAGCAGAAGAGGAGTCCCGAGAGGAAAAGAGAGCGAAAAAACTCTCTTTAGAACTCTCTTTAGTTTTTGGGTCCAATGATGGACTCATTTGCATTGACATCATCGGAAATGAGCTCCGATTTGAAGTTTATCAAACAGGCGATGAAAGAGGGCAAGATATTTCCTTTTCACGTGAATATTGAAATTCACGGGAGAAAGATACGTGCTCTAGTGAACTCAGGAGCATCTCGTACCTTCGCTGGAGAAGCGGGGATCGAGCTGCTGAGTGAGCTAGGTATCAGCGCGAGAAGAATAGCACCGAGAAGAGTTCTAGTAAAAATACCTCTGGTATTAGGGGGGATAGCCGTCGCGGTTCAAATTCTTTGGATGGCTTCGCTATCCGAGGATTTCATACTGGGACTGGATTTTTTGAAAGAAGCACGGATGGTCATTGATTTCTTTGACCAGTCCTGGCTTTTCAGAGACAAACCTGACAAAACATTCAAGTTTATCGCAGTTGACAGAGCCTGCCACATAACAGTGTGTAACGGCCTGAAAATAAGCGATGCCAGAGCTCTATAACTCAAGAATTGATAGATATTGTAACGAGATTTTCTCGTTACGGTAAACTGTTTTACCAACACAAAAACCCATGAGTTAAAAATGGTTAGAGTGAGGGACAGAGAGAGAGAGAGAGAGAGAGAGAGAGAGAGAGAGAGAG